TAAGATCAAAATTTAATTGTAAGACCACAAAAGTCTTACTTCTGCTTCTATTAAGCACGTATCTCAGGCACATTTCAATGCACGAATGCATTTCTTTCTTGGAATCTCTACTTTAATTCAGTTTTCTGTAGACGTACCAATCGGTTTCAAATCTTCTTTTCTTTTCCACAAGAATTCTTTTCTTTTTTCTTACAAAAAATTTGCTGTTATTACTTTCAGCCCAGTATAGGGGCTTTTGGTGTAAACTCTTGACCCAATTAAATCCTGATTGAGAACGTGACGCAAGCCCGTGTAACTTAAAACTTGTTTCGGATAAATCCAACTCGAGTGCAATTTTGCAGACGTCCATATCGTCTCGGCCATTTATCCGCGGAAAAAGATATAGGGGCCAATATATTCCGCGCAGAAACGTTCGCATCTATCCAAATCCGTAAGGTTTTCTCGTCTCGTATTTTTGTCTCGCGAAATAGATATAATACAAATTTACGCGAAAACCGTTCCCCCGTTCGGTCAGATAACACGACGAATGCGTCCCAGAACGGCAGACCGTAATTTGTTGCAAGCCCTGAACTATTTCATTATTTTTTTTCACGAATCATTCTGCCTTCAACAACGCTGGCATCTTCGAATGATGGATTTACAATCTTGTAAAGACAAATCTTGTATCCAGATAGAGAGAGAGAAAAGATTTCGAAAAGAGAAGCAAATTTTGATTTGTTATTTGTAGACTGCGGATCTTTATCCATTTACAGAAAATTTGAATGTTTGAACTACAAAATGCAAACAATATGCACGAATATAAAAAAGATTGAAAGTAAAGTTCATGTTATAACATTTGCAGAATAAAATAAATTCCTATTTAGGTTCAATTTTTATAGGGACGTTCTAGTTATTTGTATGATAAAAATAACAATATGATGTATAAAATAAAATGATACTTTGCTAATTGTTCGATGGAACAAATGGTGCCTTCATTAGTAATTTATCATTCAATCGATAGTTTTCTCATAGAAATAACAATTTTCAGGAATTTTTACAATTTTTCAATTTCTCTTCCAAGTGGAGCGAACGCTACCATTAATAACGCGTTATTCGTCATCATTCGAACTGTTTCGATTCAGAGCCCAATCTACCGTATGAAAATCGCGCTTAAAATGAGAAAGGGTTTTACTCGAAACGCGCAATTAAAAAATGTTTAATTCATAACCGAGTCGAGGAAAGTGTTTCATCTTCATAAATCCCTTCCAGGCTCGCCTCGAATATTGAAGAGGGCCAATTTATTCGTACAGAATAATAATCAGCGGTTACGAAACAAAATGAATAAAACGAGATGAGCGAGTGTCGCCACGAATATCGTTAAACAAAATATGCGAACCATTTGTTTGCAACTATTAAGGTATTATTATTTCGTCCCATGAATCGCGTTCTCGATGAAATTAACGACGACGACGATGAGCACGACTACGTGGCCATGTTTCTTCCCGATTTCGCTGATGGCTATCTAGCTCCAAGTTTGCTCTAATTAAGCTTAACCTTTTGCACTCTCCGCATGCGTAATATGCACCACAACTCGCGAGGTTTGGCAATTGATATGTTAAATAAAAAGGATCTGAAAATATTCGACGAAAATTACAGAAAATCATCTTGCTTGTGGCTCATATTAAAAAAAAATTGAGTGCAAACGGATAATCGACTCGCTTAAGCAGCGACAAGCGGTGTGCGAGACGTGTTTCGATTGTAGGAATACTCACCGTGGAAAGTGTTCGATAATAAACGTGTAATAAACGTTGGAATCTGTAAAACTCCATACTGTAATTGTTATTGACGCTTCGAGGAATCGAACTGGGGTTGCTTGTTTAATTTGTCTGGACATTCGAATAAATTCAAATAAATTCGAATAATGTTATTGGAATGAGAAAGTGTTCGATTAGTTCAATTCAATCAAAGCCACCTAACTTTAAATTCACGTACAACAGTATTCCACGTTCTCATAATTTTAGATTTGTTTTTCGTAAGATCTAGTCTTCTGGAAAACAAAAATGTAGTTCTAGGAAATTATGTCTATCCTACTATTAAAATCTTGGCCAAAGCAGTAGAGCATTGTCTTATGTTTAAATAAGTTGACCATTCGCGAAAATGATCCTGTACACCCTGAAGAAACCGCGCAGACCTTGCACCATTAATTTGTACCGTCGCACAGTGCGGACAAATAGCAAAATTGTGGCCAAAATTAAAATTTCATTACTAATATAAATATATTGCTATTTATTAAAAAAAAAAAATTAAAATGAACCATAAACATTAATAAAATCACAACAAAAGTAACAAATTTAACAAATCCCGATTTTGATGAAACTTACTTGTTTGTGGGACCTTCTTATGAATTACACCATCCTCAATACGTGAGACTTTTGTATTTTGAGAGAGAAATTAACCCTTTTGTCCGAGCCGCCCCTTTTACTTTTGCTCGGAAACGATTAGAGATTTCAAAAAAATGTTCAAGCAAACATTACACTGTTTTTAGAGGCCTATAAACTAATACCAACAAATCTAAAAAAGAACACATTTTTTTTTAAATTACCTCCCCCCCTCCCTCGAAATTTTTGAAAATTTTGATTTATTTCTGGATTAGTAAAAGCGTTTTTTTATTCTGAATCCAACGGTATGTATGAGTTTATGATTATCATACAGGAAAATGATGTAATATTGTAAAATTGTCGCTTTAGTAGTCCATATTTCGAATTCTTTAGGAATTTTTTTCTCATAAATAATAGAAGTTGCTTCTACATGTTATTTAACAAAATATGCTTCGTTTTGACCAAGGATGTGAGAAATCATTTTTATAAAAATCCATGAATCAATTAAATCAGAATTTTCAACTTCCAATTGCGATCCTACACCAACAGTACGGTCCCTTATTAAAAATTACGTTAAAACCGAACGTTGCAAGTATTTGCAAGAGAACTTATAAGTTTCTTAAAATATAACAAATAATGTGTCCAAATATGTTGAGAACTCAGGATACTTTTTGCTGTTTTGTCTGTATGTTTGTTTAAAGATAAAGATTGTATTATGGATACAAATGATTGATACATGATTATTTATAACAATTTCCACGCTGACACACATTTTCTACGATAGAAATCTGCCTCACATTTTGATATACAGGGTGTCCCAAAACTCGGGGAGGAGCAGGAAATGGGGAGTAGCTGAGACGATTCTGAACAACAATTTCCTTTGCAAAAATGTCGGATGGGGATATATTAAGGAGATATTAAGCGAAAACCCCGACCAATCACAGCGCGCGTAGATCGTTGGAGCAGCCGCGGTAGCGAAGGCTACGCGCTAGGTCGATGCTTCGATGCACGTCGAGTCACTTGTCGCGTGCAAGCGCGGCCACCAGCGCGTAGCCTACGCTATCGCGGCCGCTCCAACGGTCTACGCGCGCTCTGATTGGTCGGGGTTTTCGCTTAATATCTCCTTAACGAAGCTCCATCCGACATTTTTGCAAAGGAAATCGTTGTTCAGAATCGTCTCAGCTACCCCCCATTTCCGGCTCCTCCCCGAGTTTTGGGACACCCTGTATATATATACTGATATTGAATTTTGTCCATTTATTCCGTACTGTGCGTCGTGTGCAACAACGAACGCCGTTACCGCCTCGAGACGATTAATTTCGGTCTGTACGCGAAAGAAAAAGCGATTAAGAGAAACGAAACATGATTATTTCGATGAATGGTCTCGTCCCGTCCTGACTCGAATCGACGGGACGATCCTCGTATACGTGCAGGCGTACGTCCAGCAAGCAACAACGTGAACAATCGTGAAGCGAAGCGCGATCTACGATATCTCGAAGACAAAAAAGCATTTCTCTCAAGCGCTGAGCCCGCATGGAACGCGCGTACTCGATCAGATTCTGGTGGTCGGACGATATTCTCGTAGGACGACCTCGTGGCAATTTCGGAAAAATTTATGGAAACGAATAAATTATTGTTGAAGTACATTTCACGCAAGAGGATGAAGAGCTCGGAGACGTCTGATCTTTGTACAGTGATGTGCTTTGTACAGTAGGTATTTCTGAGGGTAGGATGTAGATCAAAGATGGCGGATACCTTTCGTACACTCAGATTTAAGTAGACTGTGGATTTTAGGCATTTATAATGCAAAGTAATGTAATAAATACATTCTAAAGATGCCAAAAGGAGTGTGAATTTATACAGAACGAAATATCGATATTATTATGTTAATTAATAATAATAAATACATTCGAAAGAAAACCAAAATAAATGTGCACATATGTAAAAACGAAATAACAATATCGTTACGTTAATTGTAAACTATATTCAACATGATGTATATTTTTGTATGTGTTTCATGTTATTATACGTTACAAGTGCATAAACATTCGCAGTCTACTTATGGGTCTCGTGCAGCATCCAGTATACAAGGATCAGAGCATTTACCCCTTGCCAGACAAGAATCCTCGCCATTCTTGGCTCCAGCGTGAGTAAAAAATGGTCGATTCCTGGAAAAGAATCCCTACCTCCGTAACTGAACATGATCGCGATCACTTAGCGAGATCGTACTGCACCGTGCAGCGAAGTTAGACCTCGTCAGCCCTGGTCTGCAAAGATTCAGCCTGAGCCTTGCGAGGGTTAAAACAGAAACGCATTTCTAAAAAAATGTTTCGCCTTCTATCGAGTTAGCATAATCAGCTTCAATGATATAGTACGTTGTAGTACTCTAAAGCGAACTGAAACACCGGAACCGAGACATTTGAACAATTTAAAAATTCATTCGTAGACTTACGAAGAATATCATCGACGTAATATAGCGTCGCGTTTCTGTTTAGAGACGCGCGGATTAGGCGTGTACGCGCGTTAAACGCGGTGCGTGACGGTGAAGAGAGAACCCTTCGCAGATTGACATTTTGCGTGCTCGTACAGGTGAAAGCACGTGTCGTCGCTCATCGGCGACGTCTAAACACTGAACTCACTCACCGAAAATTTCTGGACGGATCGCGTTTTCGTCGTGCTTGTCATCTAAACGAAACAGCACCAGGTTTGAGAAGGTACAGAGAACAGTACACGCACGGAGCTCGAACGAAGCGATACTAGATTTCGTTCGTTCGCTAACAACAAGAACAACACTCCCGGATCATGTCGGGCAATCGTTTATATATTGCAAGAAAGTGCTTACACAGACGGTTCGATAGGAAAATGGGGGTCGATACTCACTCTCGCTGTACTCTCTAACGCGAAGCTTCAGATTGTCCCTGATAGAGGGAAGGACGATGGTGTCGTTGTGCATCATCTCCTTCAGCTTGGCCATGGTGTACGCCTCGCTACCTACCACCAGATGTCGTTCCAGAATTTGCGTCGTCTGCAATCAGACCGCGATAAATCAAGATCGATAAGAAGAATTTTAGGACAATTTTTGGAATTTTGAAAGCTCCATTCTGAGCATGATAAATCAGAACCATGAAGACTGTATAAGGAGTCCTAACTGTGTAGTGCAGAAGTGTTATGAAAATCCCGAGCTTGAAGTTATGAATATTTCTACCACTCGCGGCTCAAATGAGCACACACTACGATATATGTACATTTGTATACAATTTATCTACAAATAATATTCAGATTGCCCTGCACTTGACCGGCAGTCCATTTGTTATTGCAAAATACATATGAACTTTGTGAGGTCTATATTTTTTTGAATACCTATAGATAATATACATATACACATATGACATACATGCGGTAGGAACGGCAGGCCTAAATTATACATAATAGTTTTTTTCACAACCGTTACCTTTACGGCATGCAGAAAAATGTCGCCCATGTTTTAGTAATGAAATAAAGATAACGGATAAAGCTAAAGGATTTTTAGGAGAAACAAATATGAAAATATAAATTAATTTGAGATAAAAATAATATTTTATTTTGGAATCTCTTCCACGTGCCCTCCATCATTTAGTGTACAATTTTTTATTCGTTTTAGAAATTGTTTTTCTACTTTTACAAGAGTATCTGTTGGAACGTTGCAACACGCGTTAACAATGTGAAAAAAACTATTATGTAGAATTTAGGCCTGCCGTTCCTACCGCAGTCTCTTCGTATCGGTTTCAAGAGGCCGGTCTAACCCGTAGCATTTTAACACTTTATTTACCGGGAGCCTATTTTTAGGCTTTTTACTTGCAGTATTTAGCTACTCGAATTTATTTACTATGTTGATAGTTGTCTACTTACAATGTTCAGTGTTTGGAAACCGACTTGGCTTTCAATGTACCCAGTAACAGTATGGAGGAATTATTGTCAGCCTAGATTGGCATATGGTACCGTAGAAAATTCTCTTTTGAATTAAAGTCTGTTTCTAAATAGCCCGGTAGATAAAGTGTTAAGTGCGGTCGAGAGTCGAGACCCCCTACTGTGCTTCCTGATCTCGCAGATTTTCTTGTACCGAAAATCAGTAAACTTTTACGCGTAATATCTTAAAAACTATTTGTAAAAGGGTGTTTACAGTAAGCTTGATGAATTCGTCTTGAAACGTACTATCTATTGATCAAACAAAATGTATATAATCCCATTTGAAAAACCAAACGTAACTTTCATATCTCTGTAAACAATAATGATAAAAAAAAAATTGTTACAGCTAATAAATCGACCCCCTCTTGCCATTCAATTTCATATCAGAAACTTTTTTCGTAGCTTTAATAGGTTACGAAATAATCGGCTGTCCAGGATTTCGTGGGACATACTGTACATATATACACGGTCTGTCTAAAAAGAAACCGAACTTTTGCTATAAAATGAAAAAAGTACAAGTAATGTTTCTACACACACGTTTATTTACTCAAAATAATCTCCCTCTGCGTCAATACAGCTTGTAGACTCCGTAATTAACATTTGGTAGCCCGTTTAGTACGGCGGTTACAGCGGCCTGAATCTCCGAAACGTTGCTATAATGTGTCTCGTTCATTGAAATTTTCAATTTTAGGAAAAGAAACTAATCGCAGAGTGACAGATCAGGCAAGTAGGGTGGATGATCCAAGGTAACAATGCCTTTTTTAGCCAAAATTTGACGCTCAGTTGCGGCTTTGTGTGCAGGTGCATTGTCGTGCAGCAACAACTTCGTCTTCAGTGGACTTTCGATCGTTTTTAAATCGAGTGAACCACTCGTAAACTTGTGTACGGCTTAGGCATTCATTCATCCCCATACACTTGTTTCAATAACGTAAGCGTTTCGGTAAAAGTCTTTTTAAATTTAACGCAGAACTTAATATTAGCGCTTCATTGCGGTATTCCAACAAGCGTCACAAAACGTCCGTTATATTTCAAGTCACACAACGGAATGTGAACGACCGATTCACATGATACTGTGCACGGTCAACAATTAACGATTAGAAAAAATGTTAGAGCAAAAGTTTGGTTTCTTTTTAGACAGACCGTGTATATCGTAGTCTGCGCGCATTTGCGCCGCGAGTGAACGAAATATTCATAACTTCAAGTTCGGGATTTTGATAACAGTTTTCTAGTAACTTTCTTAGGGAGTTGGATCTCCTTATACAGTCTTCATGATCTAAAACTATCGAAGAAATAGCACAGTAACTTTAGTAAGTAAATATATGTACATTGTAATCTGTTTGGATGGGAAAAACAATAGAATGGTCGAGGTGGTCAAGCTGCATATGCAATATTAGGAGAGATAGAGACAGAAAAATGGCCAGTTTCTTGATTTTGGAATCCGAAAGCTCTGTTCTAAAGAGCACCGTGCAACGCAGTTGATCATCGACGAATACTCACGTGATAACTGAATTCAGGCATGAAGAGCTTCTTGTAGGTAGACGGGAAGCTGATCTTCGCCATGTACCAGGCGGTATCGCGCGGGGCGAAGTAAGTGAAACGCTTGGTCGTGTCGTTGAGCATGTTGTTGAACCCTTGTCGTTGGCCGAGCAAGTAAGTGGTGCTGGAAAAGGGTCGAATAAGGAATTCGTCAATGTCTTTGGGCAACTACGAGTCCCGTAGGAGGGATTAGCTGACGATCACGTCTAATACACTGCAGTCTAAAATTCATAGGGAAGAGTCTGCTGGTGGCAGTAGTCTATCAACCTGTTGTTAGGTTGATGTGGATCTTTTAAATAACGCGCCACAGTGTTATGATTGTTTATATTGGTTATTGGGGTTAGAAAATAATTATCACTCAGTTATTCTCTTTTATTGGATTGTCGAGAAAGTCATCAAGTATTTTTTCTTGATTTTTCAAATGTTATTTATTTATATAAAGGATAAAGATCAATCAATGATATTATAGTCATTTTAAATAATTAACACGTCTTTTATAAAAGGAACAAGAACACAAAACGTTTATTAACTATAACAACAGCTCGATTAGTAAACACGTCCGTTTGAAAGCAAGTCTGGCGATGTTCTGCCCATTTAAAAGTTGCCGGTTCTCTTGGAAACCGGAATATCCTGACGATCCGCTTTCGCTCGCTCTTCAGAACGCACTTCACATCGTCATAGTATCTTCACGCTGCCGCAACAATATATAGCCCGTTTTGTTCGATAACCTTTCGCCACCGTTCAGTGAGTTTCATAATTCCTCGTTTATAGAAGGACCTGTCTTTATCGGCGAAAAACTGACTAAGGTGCTGATTAACAGCCTCATCGGAATCGAACGTTATATCACGCAAAGAAGCTTGAAGAACGCGAAAGAAATGGAAGTCCGATGCCGCAGGATCTGGCGAGTATGGCGGGTGTGGTAACACATCCTATCCAAGCTCCAGTAATTTTTTAATTATTGCTTTGATTTTGTCATCATCAACCGCGATGGGTCTCCCTGACCGAGGAGCATCGCTGAGATTAAAATCACCAGCACGGAATTTCGTGAACCATCGTTGACACTGACGTTCTTGTAAAGCATTGGCACCGTAAACTTTACGCAACTTTTCGCAAGCTTGACTTGCGTTCTTCCCTTTACGAAAGTAAAACAATAGAATATGGCGAAAATGCACAGTTTGATCTTCTATTTTCAATTAATCATAAAATTTTCCAAATTCAACCAAATCGATCAGTCTTTTGTTTAGTACGAAACTAGAGTTCTTAGTTGTCAAATGACACCAATCACGTGGTTGCAACTGACTCTAGTACTGCCAAAAGTAAATTAGTGCCACCTGTTGCAGAAATGCGTCACGACTTTTCTGACAACCCAATATAAGACACTCTTTATTTCGACCAGAGAGTTAGGAGTTGCGATGTTGCTTTCAAGAAGACTATGATCGAACTGAGTATTTCGACGTCAGTGGAAAAATGCAACGAAAACTATCGGTGCCCTCTTGTCTCAGAAAAAGGTCTGCTGACTTTCTCTTTCAGGTCATAAACTAACTCCAAGAGACCTTTTCCGGTGTTGGTTTATTTTTTACCGTCGGGGTCTTAGACTTCGAGTCGCCAAGGGCCCGAAGGATCCAACAGTTTAATATAACTTTAATTAAGAAATGAAAATGGAAATGGAAATAGTATAATATAAAAGTCCACAACACTAACCCATATTTCAGTGTGCGTACCGCAGCATAGCGTTTGGTTCGTATGACGACCAGCTAACGACTGTTAACGACTAAATGACCGTTAAGAAATAACAAAGAAACAAAGGAAAAATTAAAGTGGTCACACTATGGGCGGTATTCACAGTCGCAACCTATTTCTAAGCTGGCCTTTAGCATATGCTTAAGGTGTTCGCCGGATTCACAGTCGCTGAATAAGTAACGCCTTAAGTATCGACTTAAGCATTTCCTTATGAAAACAATTGCTGTCTACTCCAGATTCACAGTCGATTCTTAAGAAAGTCTTAAGTCCTTAGGAATTCATAGTCGAATAAGTTCGCCTTGTTCATTGAAAACGTGTTCTTATTTCGCTTAATTGAGGTTACGTTTTTGAGTCGACAGTATATTATGACTTAAACACGCGTGTGAAAAGAAGAACGAAAATAACGTACAGTTTATAAGTACGAATAATTCCGTCGACGGGAGCCACCAGGACAAATGTTCGATTCAGGATGGACACGAATAAGATACATAAATAATGCTGCATTTTCAAGAATCATTTTAATTGGTTGTTACAATAGAAAATCGACGGAAATACCCGAATGTCAAACAACCATTGCTTAAGCGTTTGCTGGACTAAGCAAGCCTTAAGCATCAGTTCCTTAATTAAGTCGAACTTATTTGCTGACTATGAATACATAGCGACTCAAGCAGTGTTTATTCCAATAAGGCGATCTTAGTCAAGAACTTCTTAAGACAATGCTTAAGTCGCGACTGTGAATACGGGCCTATGTCTCCGTACCTACCAGGATGTTTCCGAAGCTAGAGGGACAGATTGCGCTTTAATCACGTCCAAAACAAACAAAATAAGAAGATGGACTAGATACATGTACTTTCTCTAACACCTGTAATGGTCATTTTTGTAGGATTCGTTGACCCAAACGTTTTGTCTCTGAAGTCTACGACTCCTCCCATCCTTGGCAATGTTTTCAAACTTTTCATAAACGTACAAGGATCTCGAAGAAGCTCACAGAGCCTTCTAGATCCATTTCTGACGTACGTCAAAGCGTTATATCAATATTGTCCGAGAATTTGAAGGAAAACCGGACGCGTTTGAGATCTGTATGCACGGGAGTGATTACCAGGGACTGCTGCCAAATACCTAACAGCTAACACGAGAGTCGAGCGACGTGCCTTCCGCTTGCTAGCTCTCTCGAGTGGCATGATTCGTTTTGTTGGTCCTCTCGCCAAGGTTCTGGGATTTGCGGTAAAAGGGTAGAACGCAGAGGCAAACGAATCGATGATAGCGGGGATTCCTGGGCATTCGGGAACGTGCGTGTGTGACGTATCGCCTATACGGGTTGGAGAGATACTGGAATGGATGGGTCCTACTCCGGATATATCATGGTGTGGGGTGATGGAATGCTGACACCACCATCCATCCAGTGCATCGGGTAACGATACCTATCGTATAAAGGAGCTAATGGCATTAAAGCCAGGACATAACCGACTGTTTCCTAGCCTCTCATGCAATGATCCCCAATCCGCGGTAACAAGATGGGCCAACTGACGCCAGCGAAGTAGCCTCGTTCCCAGTAACATATTGGCCATCGATAAACGTGGATTGTCCTGTGGTTTCTACCAGATCGAAATCCCTGATCGATCATCGTGATTCTTTTTTGGAAATACCTATGTTGTTTCGTTTGCGTTTCCCCGTTGCGAATTTTTCAACGATTTAGACGAGCTACGAGCCTGGCAATCGAGGCTCGCGCAAACGCGCGGTCACGCGTGCGTTATTTAACTGGATTTTATCGTTGCCGAAGGTTTATTTGCCGTTTATCGGAACACCGTTTAATGGGATTTTCCATTATCGATGCGTCGGTAATTGAAATAACGAGAGGGTGAATTAAAACGCGACGCGTCTCCTGTCGGGGTACACGCACGGTTCGAGCGTGTAACGCGAAGGTAATCTAGCGAAAGGGAAATCTACAGATTGTTTAGCGTGACGGGGTTGTGTCGTTGTAAATATAATGAGTAACTTTAATATCCGGGCACTATGAGATTTTTACTTTGTTACTTTTTATAATCAAGTATTATATTAACGTATATGTGTAGTAAACAATAGTATGAGTTTTATTTACATAACTTACTGTAGTTGTTAAATAATACGATTTAAACAAAACATTGTCTGATTTTCGTGTTACTTTAATATTCGGACACTTGGTAGTGTAGCTCCTTTTCTGAGTGTTTACGCAGCGTTACTTCGAGTTTAGACGGAGTGTTTGCTTACAAACACAGTCGACTGTTCGGATGATACTATCAAGCCTTATTTCATCAGTTACTCTTCGATAATCGTTACGTGCACGTGTGTAATTGCACGCAAAAGCAATACCACGTATAATATATGACAACTTGTGATTTTTCACAATGCAAAGGGGAAATCATGTAGACAAATTGCTGCCATACTCGACATGAGTAAAAGTACAGTGGCAGGTATCATCAAACGGTTCAAATGCGAGGATCGTATAGACTCTATACCCCAAAAGGGTCAACCGAAGAAGTTGGATGCACTGGTGATAAGAGGAAACTAATAAGAAAAAAAAGAAGGACCGTTCACTCAGTGCACCAAAATTAGAAACAGAGCTCTTAAACGAGACTGGGAAGAGGGTATATCCCCAAACAATCCACAGAGCCTTAAAAGATAGTGGTTACAATGGAAGAATAGCTAGGAGAAACCGTATGCGAATGAACAGAATCGAAAGAAGAGATTCAATTTTGCTAAAGAATTTTTCAAGGAAGAAATATGGTGGAACGAGGTAATTTTTACCGAGGAAAGTAAATTTAACATTTTTGGATCAGATGGACGAAGGATGGTGTGGCGTAAGAAAAATGAAGAATTTAAATTTAAAAATCTAAGGCCGACTGTAAAGGATGGAGGAGGCAGTGTGCTTGTCTCGGGCTGTATATCCACATTTGGGCTGGGTGAATTAATTTTTATTGACAATATTCTGGGAAAAAATGTGTATTTGAACATATTAAAAAATAATTTACACAAAAGTGCTACACAAATGGGAATTTTAAACACATTTAAGTTTTACCAGTACAACGACCCGAAACATAAGGCGTGCCTTATCATTGCGTGCATCGTGCAAGAATATTTATTGTACAATTGTTCAAAAATTTTACAACCACCACCTCCATCACCTGACCCCAATCCTATCGAAAACGTGTGGAATGGACTAAAGCGACGTACCAGGACAACAACAATATCTTCGAAAGAAATGTTGAAACATCGGTTAAAAGAAGAATGGGACAAAATAACTATTGAATATTTTTAAAAAAATCATTAGCAATATGCCACAACGTTTAAATAAAAGTGATACAATAGAATGGTTACCGAACAAGATATTAAAACACATATTATTATAATAATTAGACTCAAAATAAATAGTTTCTAAAAGTGACCGAATATTAAAGTAACGCGAAAATCAGACAATGTTTTGTTTAAATCGTGTTATTTAACAACTACAGTAAGTTATGTAAATGAAACTTATACTATTGTTTACTAAACATATACGTTAATGTAATACTCGATTATGTTTTTTGCTTGTTTTGTTAGAAACGAAGTTATGATGTGATAACGTAGAAATCTCATAGTGTCCGAATATTAAAGTTACTCACTCTGTAGTTGGCGATGGATCGTGCTGTGCGTTTGAGGCTTTGCGATCGATCATTTTTTTAATTACGAATTTGTTAAACCACAGAGTGAATTTGCTGATAAAGCACAGGAAGTTTACCACGATCGGGGCCTTTATTTTTATCTCCGAAACTACCGATCCTATTATGCTCTTCCTTTTTTGTTTTTCTGAGGAAGAATAAAGGTCTATTTACACATATCCGTAACGTGTCAGTTCCGTATCCGTACCGTATCAGTAACATCCGCAACGTTTCTAAATATCCGTAACGTGTCAGTGCCGTATCCGTACCGTATGGGTAACATTCGTGACGTTTGATCAGTGTTTCCCGAGACGGCGAATTTTACGAATAATAAATTAGCAATGATTGCTATAAGTTTAGATGACGAAATGGAAGAAAATAAGACGAAGAAACGGAAGTGGGTCCATGAAATTTGTAAAAAAAGAAAAAGCGAAGGAGAATTCGTAACTTTATACAAAGAATTGATTGAAGATGAAAGGAAGTTTTTTGATTATTTCAGGATGTCTGAAAGTTGCTTTAATATATTATTAGACAAAATAGAAATATATTTAAAAATGCAAGACACTCGCTGGAGAAAAGCTATAACTCCGAGGGAACGATTAGTAGTTTGTTTGAGGTAAGTAATAGAAATTGACATATTTTTCGGAAATAATGTTTTATTTTATTTTCTATTGTTTTTTTTTGCAGGTTTTCGAGGAGCTGGGAATTCCAGAGGGTGCATTTAACAATATTGGACAATCATAATTTGACAGCTTAGACAAAATTTAGAAATCTACTTTTTGCTGGCTTTTCGGGCCAAATACTCCACTGTGTGTCGTAAGCTGTCCGTGAAACAAAAATACCGTTGAAACTAAATAGAAATTTCACTAAACGGATACGGATCATGTCGGTCACGGAGCGGTGTCGGACGTGTGTGAACATTAGGGATGGCGTGAAAAATAACTAACAATGATTTTTCACGGTGATGACACAATCACGGTCGCAGTCGTTATTAAACTTCGATCACGACCGTGATCCGAAAAATGACGTTTCAGAAGCGGTTCATGTTAATTATTATCGTTAGTGTATCACTGTCTCCTCTTAGCGGAAATTCAAGAAACTACAAATTAGTCAAATTTAAATTGTATTAAAATTATATTAACATTGCTTTTAGACCATATTATAATACATATATAACCTAAGACCAACATAATTAGTGAAAAGAATGTTCTGTATCAATCAGAAGCGATCACGAAAAATGACGAATCACTGTGAAAAATCATCATGATTGAGAATGAACGTGATTGAATCACGAGTGATTCAAAAATTGCAGTTCACGCCATCTCTAGTGAACATGTCCATTTAAAAACAACAGGAGAATATTAAAATTACAGAACTGAACGGATCCGGACTGACACGTTACGGATGTGTGTAAATGGACCTTAAAGCTTTCGAAATAAATTTTGTACTAGACTGAAAAGTCACGTTTCTATCGTGAATAAAGTCAGCAACGTCAGCAATCGGAGTGCACGTTGAACAGAGCTATTTCAACCGTAGCTCGAGGTTAACGAAAAGAAACTGTTTAGTCTCTTTAACTAGCGGGTCTATTTTCTCTTTCCGAGTCCCTTGAATTGTGGACCATTAAGTTGAACAAAGGGACGGCAGTATCAATAGGAATCGAGGACAATAGTGTTCGACGCGTGGCTCGTGGAACCATCCAATTCCCAGCGTAAGATTCCCTGTTTATAGTTCCTCCGTCGAGCGGAGCACGTTCACGGTAATTGGAATGGAGATTTGTTGCGTTATTTTAATTAAATTTGGAACAGAGTAAAAGGTATCGAGCCAGGCTGGCGAAGCATACTTCTTTCGGGGTATTAGATAATTATGGCGCCTATTCGCCAGTGAAAAAACTGGTACTTGGCTGCACACAGTTATATTATGATCACCCTCTACAATAGAAAGCGATTCCTTCACAAAAACAAGTCGAGCGTTTACTTCTCAGAATATACACATCCCTTCCTCTAACGGTGGTTGTTTTTGCGTTCCAGTTTGAATAATACTCGCTGTTTGGGAGACACAGAGGACAGTTAAACTTTGTGGTGGGGGTATGACTTCTGTGGTCTACTTTGAGCAATCAGTTATCATTTCAACTATCCGCGTGATGCTACGTGCTTGGGTTAAACGTCTTCTGATCAGGTACGTACAGGGTGTATAGAGCTATATTATTATCATCCCCTATAATAGAAAACGAATCCTCCACAAAAATAAATAGAGCACTCAATTCTTCAAATATTATCATACCTTTCGCTAATGATAGTTGTCTTTATGTTTCAGTTTGAATAATACTCGCTGTTTGGGAGACACAGAGGACTCTGCTCCAAGAAACGACAAATGGAGCGACAGTTAAACTTTCTGGTGACGAAACAACTTCTGCGGACTCCTTGAACCACCAGCTATCGTTTCGGCTATCTCTGTGGTACTACATACTTGGGTTAGAGGTCTTCTCGTCATGTACGTGAGTATTTTCATATGTCCAACCTAAAATACTCGATTGTCGCGTTCAAAACAAACGTAGCCTTACAACTGTGCGTCATTGATATACATACACACCATTCTTAACCCTTTATAACAACGTGTGCATAAGGAATAAGGATAAGGAATTCCGTCATGAAAAGCACAAGCCAGACATGTCGTACAAACGTGGACAAGAGACTTTACTTTAATCATAGAGTAGGGGGTTAATTTACTTAGTCAGCATTCGTAGTTATTTATTACATCAGCAATAATCCCTCAGTAATTTAATTTATCGACCATGACAAAATTGATCTACTCACTTGAGCATGGGATCGGTCTTAAGCTTCTCCAACACAGTCGTGTAAGGAACACCCAGGACCCTGTCGATGATGTGAATGATTCCATTCGTGGCGGCAATATTCGCTGTGACCACGGTCGCGTTCACGCCCCCGCCTTCGACGGTCACTGTCTGGTTTCCGCTGGGCCCTTGAACTACGTTGAAGTAGAGTCTCTTCCGGTCCGCCGCCGTGGGCACCTATAAAAAACCGATAAACCATGAAGGAGACGTTAACGAGGGCGCGCGACACGCCTGGGAAGCGTGCCACTCGTGTTTGTACACCGAACAGCGACAGGATGTACACATTTCGAATATTACGCCACTTCGTGTTAAATTATGAATCAAACAGGGACTGAATTACTTTTTAATTGGTCTCTTTGGAAATTCGGTGGAAAAGGAGGGTTCGAGATTTTGAGAGAGAAAGATTCGCGCTTTCATTCGTTAAGAGCTTGTAGGAATTTAACGAATAAATGTCAAGCAAGTTTGAATACTGCAATCACTTTTAAGGGGGGAGTCTGGTCCAGCTAATGTATTTTTCTAATGCATATAATTTCCAGATATCATTAATTTTTGTTATTGAAACTTTTTTTACACGTAAAAGGACGTTCAAAGAAGAAAATTTGACAGTGTAGATTTAATTTGAATGTATACATGCAATAGATATAGTAGTCGCAAGGAAAGGATTCGGTCAAAACGGTGGGATGCGTGGAGCCCTGGGAAAACATCTGATAGATAAAATCAGAAATTTTTTTTCTTTAGTAGGTACGTAAAATGCGTATGAACCTCAATTTGCAAAAAAATTGTTAATTGCAAAAATGGCGGCAGAAAACATGAAAATGAACGATACATGTCGGCCGTTATTTTGCAATAACTTTATGTTATACTAATAATTCATTACGAGTCGAGGTTCATTAGTATATAAACTTAATTATCTTCAATTTAAGCGTTGAATCAAGTGAATCGGATAAAAATTCGATGAACTATGCGTCCCACCGCTTTGACCGAATTCTTTCCTTGCGACTACTATATCTATATACATATGTATACATTCAAATTAAATCTACACTGTCAAATTTTCTGCTTTGAACGTCCCCTTATATGTAAAAAAAGTTCCAATAACAGAAATTAATTATATCTGGAAATTGTATGCATTAGAAAAATATTAGGGTGTCCCGAAAGTTTCTTTCGCGAGTTGCACTCAATTATTTTATGTGGTTGTATTTATATAAATAGACGATCTAATTTCATAGATATTCATGTTGTAACAGTGATGGAGCAAAATGAATCGTGCACAATTCAGTAATGTAACATAAAACATAAACTATTGTGCATGTATTACTTCTTAATAAAGCGAAAGAAACTTTTGGGACAACCTAATACATTAGCTGGACCAGACTCCCCCCTTAATACCGAAGCAATGAACAATCAGAATAAAAAGTAGATACGAAAACTAGATTGAAAATTTACTCCCAAAATATCAACCATCTTTTTCTACCACTGTTTAGTCGCAATTTATCGTGCAAAATATCGTGCAAAATATCGTGTTATCGATTCGTTGGGCCATTGTTCCTGTAAGTAGGATCGCAGAGAGAAAACCAGAACTCGGTGCGCAGTTTGTAATTAACGAGACAGCCGACGTTGCGATTTTATTCGAAGAACAGTTGAAAGTCAGCCTCGTGCAAACAAGACACTCGTACATATCTAACTGCGAGTTACGACGGAAGGCGAGAGGAGGAGTTAAAAGTTATGTGCGTACCCCTACTCGAAACTTTCGCATAAAGCTGAAAGAAGAGATTGTGAGGGGTAGGAGTTGGAGGGAACGTCGTTAAACAGTTAGCAATAAGTTCTTTTCGTTATGTGTGCATCTCTACGCGTACTTCAGCCAGCACGGAAAGGAGGGATGTTATAATTTTCAGAAAGGATTCACTCCGTAGAGTATCCTGGCTTGCCTTTCGTTGTTTACGAAGCTTGTTGGATTAACATAAATCGTACACGGCTTTTGTGTAAGGTGTTAGGGTAGATTTCAGGAGATGGGTTCCATCAAGGAATACAAAGTATATTTTTATGTAACTGGTTCGATTTTGATAACCAAGAAATAATTTCGTTTAAGAAGTATTAGGTGTACTGAAAAGTAATGTTGTTTTTGCAATTTTTAATAATTGTTTATCACTCATCAGCTCATTGATTTTTATCGATATGGCATTGAAAATTTGCACACTAAATGGCAAAAGGCTGTTGATAACGAGTGCGATTACATAATTGATTAAAAATAGAAACTTATTAAAATTTTGTTTGAATTTAATGTAAAAGAAACAACATTACTTTCCAGTCTACCTAATACAGTAAATACTGGATAAGTGCAAGACAGTATTCACTGGATAAATGCAAGATAGCTATCCCCACCACTGGGGGGGGGGGGGAGGGGGAGGGTTTTCCTTTGATCGATTGATACGCTTCTGCCGACTGCTTTTTTCCTCGGAGCTCTTTCTTTTTCACTCTCTATCTTTTTCTACGTTCGATGATTGACTCGAGCCACATGTAAACACAGAATAGAAACCTCGACTGGATAACTGCAACATTTTGGTCTCGATTTTCTTGCACTTGTCCAGTCTTTATTGTAAACAAAAATTTAAGAGGGTCAACTTTTATGCCATTTATTCTAGTTTAGACAATAGTAGAAGTCACGTAAACTCGAACAAAAATTGAATTGGTTGATTTGGATGACTGGAAACGGTTCCATTTTTAACCGACTTCGAAAAGTCTATTTTTCTATTATCTATTTTTTTTTTATAATCAAGAAGTAACTTCCTTCGGAAAATTAAATTAAAATTCATGCAGTAGAGGGTCAATTAATATATCATTTATTCTAGTTTAGACAATAGTAAAATTCACGTAAACTCGAACAAAAATTGAATTGGTTGATTTGGATGACTCAATTTGGACAGTCCAAATTAATATCGTAATTTACGAAATGCTCTATCTTGCAGAATATTGGAGATCACTCGATATTTGTATCACATTTGTCGAATGGCTTTCCTTATATTCTACTTTGATGAAGTCATCTGAAAACCGTCTAGACTAGAATGTTTTCTTAAATTTCAGTTGATCCTCTCCTCGTGAATTCTTCCCGTGGCTGGTGGGCTTCAAAGGGCAGATCTAATAAATTCCGTGGAAATCCACGCCCCGCGCAAAGAATTTTCCTATAAGCCTCTTCCTAGGAGAGATCACTACCTTTACTTTTCATTCTACCGGATCACGGTTCGTTTTCTTCATTTTACGTTTCATTCCATTTACTCCCCCACCGTATCTGTTCCCTTTGGTAGTTTCTCCACGTTCCCTGGCGTCCTTCTGCCCCGTCTAATCGCGTTACGTACTCTCCGAGCTAACGCAACTGCTTCTCTGAAGTAATTCAACGATTAGGTATTTATTTTCCATTAGATCCAATTGGAAAAAATAATTTATCTCGCTGTTTTTGAACCAGTCGAGTAAGTTGAAAGAACGAATGGTTTAGATTCTTTGGTGTCACGGTCGATGTGATTTTTATTACATAACCAAATGACGTTGCTCTGTTTTGTGTCTCTCTTTAGAATTTCTTATGTTTATTATTATTTAGAGGATGCTTAGATTTTTTATTTCATCCAAAACACTGTTTTGAGGCTTCGCGAAAGGCCTTCTAGTTCCGTTTCCAAATTTGATGTTTCTATTATATTTTCTACATTTTTTCTTACTGCTTGTCAAGAAAAGATAATGTAACATCTGTTATCGTTTCGTAACGGATTTCTGCAATGTTCCAGTGCCACAACGTTCATTGTATTTCGCATAATTCGAGTAATTTGAATTTTAATCCAGCGCGTTACAACCCCTAAGAGGATTTGAAAGAAAATCCGCTCTGTTTGCTCCCCACGGTACAATCTCTCTCCATCTTAAGTCGCGCCAACCATTCAGGTGTTTTCTTTTACATTATGATCATGGCAAAGTTACCGAATCGGATCAACAACAGAGCAATGATCATCGGCAGAAGGGTAAATCGACTGGAGGACGAGGATGTGTTTGCCAATGAAAATGATTCGAGCAATCGAACGCTCGTACGTAATGGATATTGGTCATGAAATGGAACTGTTGATCAATTTCCTCTTATTCCTTCGGGTATAGTTGCCGTCGAGATGACTATACTAATTCCAGCAAACTGTATATCCTCTCGCGATACTAAAGGGCCCCCATCGATTTGAATCCATTTAACTATTGAGATATTAGATGACATTCTAAGCATTAAATAGTGGAAATTCTTTATTCGCGAGATTATTAGTGGACCTAGAACGAAACAGGAATTACTTTTCCTTTCCTTTCTAGTAAGAACAAAAGATGAGAAGTAAAATGGCGGCATAGGCCTATTCTCTGTGCCATCTAGTGGTCGATATTGAAATTAGTCTGTGTAAACAATGCCTCCTATCGACCACTGTTGAATTTAGACTCTACAGCGCTCTCTTTGAGAACTACATAGAACTAAACTCTGTCTCACATTCAAATTCTACGGTTCAATGATGAACAACAGTGGAACTTCGACTGTTGTAAGGAATTGGGCTTGGAAGTCCTGCAACAATCGAGGTTTCTGAGACAATCGAAACAGTGAGTAGCTTTGTATGCCTCCACCACTGCCTCGAACTTTATTTCTAATGATCATTCCTTCGTTTGTCCTTGTCGTGCAAAGTTCGAAGCTCGCGCGCAATAATCGAGGTCTTCCTGCACGTGACAAGAGTTACGTCCGCGGTACGACGCTAGATGAATGAATTGCGAACGTATATCTGTCTCGGGACAGAGAAAAAGAGAAGCGTCGGCGTTATCTCGTATGAAACTGAATGTGGCGTTACGAGACTTTAGTGTTGCTCTTCCGCGGTTGTTTTATCGTCTCATTTGGGGCTGAGGCACCGCGTCATAAAGTACAGAAGCGACATAAAACATATCCTCGCGATAAATCCGCGGCGAAGCGCGCCTCCGCGTTGCTTAATGCAAATCGGTCGACACCTGGCATAAAAACTGCGCATATTTTGGCTGGACGGCGCCAGCCACTCGGAAAACAATTAAAGGGCGACGCAAAGCGTTGCTTTATCGGTTTACTCAACCCCTGAATCTAGGCGTGATCTCTTGCAGGGGTCAAATTAATATTTAATAGGTACTAATTCTACATTTTCCAAGTGGAA